AAGCGCTCCGCTCTGGACGGAAATTATAAATTCAGAGCAAAAGTGCCCAGTTCTTTTTATTCCGCTTTAGCTGATTTTCACAATTACAAAGCAAACGATATTTCGATTTCAGTTTTTCATGGAAGCCGGCCAGGTATTGTATTTCGGCTTCTGCGGTAGTCAATAAATTGTTGGTTTTAGTTGGTTTTAGATCAATTTTAGATTGGTGACCATGCTCGTCTGAGGTGAATTTAAGCGGATGTTTTAAAACTGCAAGCCAATTCAAATTCTACACAAAGGCAATTTTCTCACTAGAAATTTTTGACTGGCCCAAGGCAAGGTCGTTTATTGTCTTTAGTGGGAGTCGAACAAAGCCGAATTCCCCCATACAAATTGCACATTTGTTTCGGATAAATCAGCTAAAAATACGACACAAATTGCTCTCCCACACTTGAAGCGCTTTCCCGCTAATGCCTTCCCAGTCACAACAGCCCCAAACTAATCATTAAATAAATGCGCTTGGCCTTAAAAAACAGCAGCCCTTGATGCAACTGCAACTCGCCCACTTTGGATGAAACAAAAGCGGATTCCGAGAGCAACTCTGCCTCGCCCTAATGAAGTTATGAGCTGCGGGAAGCGACTGCTCAACCGGGGACTGGAATATTTATTTTTGGTGGCACTCTTTCTCGCATTTTCCATAAATATGCTGAAAAGCTGGAGGAGGCTCCACTTAAGCGCCGACAATTAATACTTTCCATATTTCTTCTGTTCTTTCTGGACTGCATTCTCCCCTCGCTTTGTTTTTTAGAGTGCGGTGGTTGTCGAGTTGTTTTCATGTTGAGCAGCCTCTCTTTATTAAGAGGCCCCTGTGATATGGGGTTTATCTTTCGGGGAAAGCGAGTGCAAGATGGATCTGTGGCAAGCCTTGTTCTCATTTAAGAAGGCTGTCAACGGATGATAAGCGCAGTGGGCGGTTCAGTTATATTTATGGAATGAGGTTCAAGGCACTCGATACAGAATGAATGTGCATTTCATCCGGGGCTGATATCGTCACAGCTAGCTGGCCAGCCGCCTTCCGAATGTCCTTCCACAGAACACAAATCAAACCGACCCGGTCCAATCACTGAAAACTGTTAACTGCCAATATCCAGCGGGCCAAAACGTCAAAGGAAGAGAAGGAACAAAAAACGAAATAACGAAAAACTCGAGAGTTGCCCAAACCGATTCTCACACAAATTTGCAAACGCACAATTAAGTCGCCTGGGAGCGCTCCCCTCGGAGCTTCCTGCAGCGAGCATGATGGGCCGACGAAGACGTCAACTTGTCATTCGGCAGCAGTGGCCCAGTGTCCAGCTGGAGCGGCAGTAACAGCCTTTAAGTTGGTTAATTTATCATGACTAGTGGCGGCGGAGGGACAGGGAGCGGACAAAAAATGCAATTGTGTCGGCACTGTAGTTTTTTATTCCAGCTCTGGCTTTCGGGACGGGATTTTTGCCAAGTGCTTGCACTTAGCCGCCATGGCACTGACTGATGTACGGAAATTAATAACGCTCAAATAGAGCTCCAAAGCGGGCGAGCGATTCGGTTTTTTCGTTAGCCCAGTCTTTGTTTTTTAATCCTTGCTCGGTTTAAGCTGCCGAGTTTCCGGCCTTTAGCTCCTTTGCCCCCGTCCAACGGGTGCTACACGCATATTGATTACCAGGTAGTCGAAACGAGCTGGGAATCAGGGGTTAGCAGCGATTTAAAGGCGAGTAAAAGTTGCAGTTGCAGGGGCAGTGGATGAATCCCAACTTGTCCACTTGCGACGGCCGGGGGGCAGCCAGAGTGAGTCAATCAACTTCGGTCCCAACACTCCGCATTCCCACAGTGCATTAAGCCAGAGACCGAGGCAGCACATTCCTGTCCCAGGAAAGGACCTGGGAAGCAGCCAGCAACTGCAAAGTCAACAGCAACAGAATCACTTGCGGTTGCATTTTGTGGTTTGCGGCTTGCGCCAGCTGAACAGCTGAACAGCTACAAAAGCGGAATGAGAAGCAAACCTCTTTCTGGCGTGAGAGTCTTTCGCTTCCTCAGGTGGGCGGAGTGGAGGCACGTGTTTCCCTACGTCGGCGGAAAGTAAGTCTCGAGAACGATTTCCCACCCGATAAGGTGCACGCCGTGAGATACATTTCGCAGTTGGGCTTTTGGTCGAATCAAAGTTTTACGAGGCCTCAGCCAGAAATGAGTGGTTACCAGAAGGTAACCACTGGCCCTAATGGATCAACAGATCTGCTGGAAAGTGAGAAGAGCGAAATAAAGAAACCCCACTAAAACGAAGAAAGTTCAAAATAAGCATTTTCTGGTCGTAAACAAGATTTGGGATCTACGAAGACAAAAGCGGATAGCGAGAAAAATTGAGAAAGGCATTTTCCAAGAGCTGATTTTCTTAATCACTGAATGATCATCACTAGCAGAATATAGCGAGCCCATCCAAAGCCACTGGCTGAATTCGCATTAATTCGTTTAAAATTCAAGTCTTTGACAAGTGACTAATGCTAGTTTCACTGAAACCGAAATCACCAGCAAATCACTTAGCACCAATTCCCTGATGTCTGATCATTACGAACCGTTCACTGAAGCTATGAAGTTAACCTGGGGCACAAGGCGTTTTAATTGTTTTACGGCACTCCATTTCACTGGTTGCCGAGTGCAAACAAACAGTTAACGGGCTTTGTGTGCTTTGTTTTTGTTAATTAATTGTTAACAAAACGAAGTGTCAACAAAAAATATTAACGGAGAGCGGCAGAGGGAAAAACCAAAAGCGCCAACTTCCATTTTTTGCTGACATTGCGCCACAATTTACAATAAAGAAGTCATATATAATATTCTCTCATTTCGCTGCTGAACTTGTTTATTGAATTTACAATTTAAAAGACGCTGACTCAGAGTGATTTTCTCTATAATTTAGTCGAGTTAGCGAGAAACGTTAAACGAGGTCGCAATGCTTAATGACTTAGTAAAACCCCCACATCGACCCAGCATTTATATGATATGAATTGTGTAATTTTTTCACGATAACCTTATCGAAGCAAGTTAAAAGAGTTATATGCTGGCAAAGGTTTAAAAGTGTAAAAGTGCATCCTTTAGGATTTAAATTATAGATCCGTCTGCAAGGGCTGAGAGGATATTGTCAAAAGTGGGGACAGCTAGGAGTTCCGCTTAGAAACCGGTTCGCCTATTATTATAGCGATTTGTGTCCGGTTTTTTTCAAATGAAGAATGCTTTTGTCTTTTTGTATGGATTGCGCGGGTGTGTCATTTGTTTGAACAGTGTACATAACTGTATATAGAAACAAAGCCACATACACAAGCCATTAAGTCATGAATAGATTACAAATTGTACAAGCACTTTTGGATTGTTCATTGCGATATAGGTCTAACATTAATAAAAAAGAACAACTAAACTATGATAATACCATGACACTCGAGTATTCAGAAGAAATCTAAAAAATGGCTTTCAAAGCAAACTCTTAGTACGAATCGAATGGCTCTCTAGTCAAGTGCCAAGATCTCCAGCGAAAGATAAATTGACTGTTAGTAGACCACACTCAGCTTCCTCTCCAACCCCTCTTCCAACCATCAATCAGTGAATCTCGGAGAGCTACTTCCCATTAAAACGCCCCTGGTAAGTACGTGGGTGCAATATAACGACTAAATGAGGCGAATATCCTTTCATGGCTCACGTACCTTAGCTCAATAGAGTACATATCCGTAAAGCACGGACTTGAGACTCCTACCTGTGACCAATGAGGAAGAAAGCGGCGCTAGACCGAGGAAACCGCACTTGACAGGAGCACACGAGCAGGTAGGCTCTGAGCCCATACTCTTCTCACGTAGGCTTCCCAAATACAGGATGGGATCGCAGCAGTCGAGCCCTCTGAGGCGCATTGTTCTCGTGCATTTCCTGATTTTTAATTAGCCAAATAGAACCTAACAAAGACAGCAACTTGTACAAAGTGTGCAGGGGATACGTGCTCGGTGTATGAAATCGTCTGCCCCTACGAGAAATACTCCGTGAAGACAGGAAATTCATTCGATAGCAATGGCTTTCAGTGGTTACGATCAAACCGGCCGGAAAATTGCGAGAAAGTGAAGTTTGAGCGCGCCTCCAGTTGAAAATGTTATAATCGAGCCTAACCGCTTTCAGACATCGGGAATTTCCCTGCTCATAACTTGAGATTGGTTACTGGGCTGTCTGGCTGGCAATTTCATTTACTGTTGCTATTTCACTGCATTTTGTACCTTAATTTTCGATACATAGCTTAAGGTGCCCTTAATCGGATTGCACATACGAGCGCGTTTCTAAACCGAGAAACACCATACATCAGTATTCAAAACAAAAGAGACTGATTTTCTCACAGAAGTCCACGAGATATTCATCAAATTCAATTTTTGTAGTCCAGAGCCAAACTAGTGTCATTTATAATCGGCCCGCCCGACAACTCCAACTAATTAAGGTAGGCACTCGAGCGAGGAATTTACATGAAATGTTTATGCATTTTGAATATAGCTGGGAAGGTCTTTTGTCGGCCTGTGTGGCCCCTAATGGAAATTCGAGGTATTTGCATAAAAATGCTGAGCAAATTGTTGAGTTGCAGATTTACGGATGTGCAGTTGTCGGGGCCGAGAACCGGACAATGATACTCAGAAAGTCGGTATTTGCATTACAACCGCCTAGATGACCTCGGGGATGGAGGAAATGAGTTGCCAACAGTTTGGTCACCGTTGCGGGTTCAATCAACTCTGACCAGCAAAAATGTCTAGAGCTCTTATCGCACATCGGTAGTTAAAGAGCCGGGGAAGGTGCTGGGAAAATTCTGGACTTTCGCCGAGGCGCGTAGAAAACCAATCGATTCAAACTAGATCTCGTTCACCAATCAAACTTTCTAGAGGAAGAGAGTAAATTATTGGGCCGCAGCGAAAACTGGGCCTCGCTCGATGGACCGCAGTGGGCTGTGGAGCAAGATCTGATCTGGGGCTTACCTTTGAGCGAATGGGGCTGGTATCCAAATGTGTTTTGTGTGTAATCCCAAGACAGAGCAGTCCGACTTTGATGGATGGCGGAAAAGAAGTCCGGCGAAGACAAGACAAGGTCGCACTGTTTTGTTTTTGTTGTTGTTTTTGTTTCTGCCTCGCTGCTTTTTACGGCCCTTTGGCTGGCATTAAGTTATCAGGCACTCCGCTGCACCTCACATTCCCCGTGCATTTCTGCGCGTATCCACTGTCAAAGGTGCGTGTGTGTACGTGTTCCCTGCGGAGGGCGACGGCACTTGGGGAAACAGGTGCACTCGGCGGCAGGTGCAGTGATTTTATTTAGCGATGCACTTTCGGTTTCCTTCTGGATCAGTTTAGTTCACTTGTTTTTCGGCTGGCGACAAATTTTGTTTACACAACCAGGCGCGCACTCACTTTCGTTCGAACAGAAGACTCGCTACCGTTAGCAGCTAGTTTACCAAGATCTTAAATTCCGGAGCGGAGCAGCGACGGTACCGCGTTCAGCAGTGTTTGCGAACTCAATGGAGCCGCACCGCTAGCGCTGCGAGGTCTAACCCGCCGAGAGAGTTCAGTCGAAAGAGAGCAAGAGAGAGCGAGAGAGAGAGAGAGGGGCGTGCTAGCGGAGAGCGGATCGAACCAAGGGCTTTTCTCTGGAACACGTAGGTGTGTGTGAGTACGCTGACTGCACTCGGAAAAAATAGGGAATCGAATATTAAAAGAAAAAAAGTGCAGATTTTGAAATAAGTCTTGGTTGAGGTTTAGGAGAGCACTCAAAACTCTCTGAATTTTTATCTCATCTCTATAAACCCCTTATAATAAAGGATTTTTAGAAACGGTAGAAAACGTTATAAACAGTGTCCTCTGTGTGAGCTTGGGCAAAAGGCCACGTTTTGTAAGAGTGGGCCGCCGTGGGCGAGTGAGCGGGCGAACTAGTTCTGGCCGCGCTCGCTCACTTCTGAGAGAGGAAAACTGGTTTCCAATCAGACTTGGCCGGCATGTGGGTTTCCTCGTGAAAATCTGCTTGGGATGGTTGGCTAGAAGGAGGGGGAAGTCGTGGTCGAGCGACGCCGGATGGGCTTGGGCAGAGCTAAATGACCAAACTTGAAGGGGGTGCGGCAAAGAGTTTTCGGGCATAAAAGCATGTAGTAAGTTAAGGAGTTCTGAAAACTTTTGTATTTAACTAATATTTGTGTTTCTCCAGAAGCAAGCTTAGTAGGCTCTGACTTTGTTCATCAGAAGTCCATTGTTTGAAATTCCGTCAATCGAAATTCCAGTTATTATTATTGCGTGCATTAAAAGCTTATTAGTATAGAGTATGTGTCGAATACCAGACAAATAACTTATTTTACTCCATATAGCTTAACCATGTAAGATGAATTGCGAATTTCACATATTGACCGATTTTTTTTAAGTTTCTAATTCTGGGATTTTATTTCCAGTTCGCGTATTACATGCTACCTTTTACATTTTATAGAGAATCCTTCCACCAATACGATTTTTTGAGGACCAGCCCAGCAAACATTTTAGATACAATTAACATGCAATCGTCCGTGAACTTTGGCCTCATGCAAATCCAAACGAGTAAAAAGAAAGTTCAAACGCCAAACGATATACAAATATATTTAATTCCAAAAATGTCTTGGCTCGTTTTGCTTTTCTGTTATGATTTAGGTAAAACAAAGCTACAAAAAATCAAAGAAAATCAAAAGTTGAAAAATTAATTATGACAAAGTCAGAAAGTCCGAAAATTGGTAATGAAAGTGAAATTATCGTCAACGAACCAAAAACAAAATTTTTGTCTGCTCGATAATTTGCGCACCGAAAAAAAAAAAAAAAAACGAATGGATGTGCAAAGTTCATTAGATTTTGATAGATGAAGATGGGGAGCTGATGACGGTGATGGATTCGCGGAGTTGTGAAAAACTGAACGAAAAATGCGGAACCAATTTTATTTGTTTGCTTTTTGAGAGTGATTTAATTAGTTGGAGCACGGCAGACTTATGCAACTGACCCGGGGCGGCAATTAAGAATTCATGAATCAGACCCTAATTAGAGGTCGCCGTTTAACAACTTGACAAACACAGAAGCAGACAGAACCTCGAATATAAAAAGCTATTAGAAGGTGCGAGATCGTGGCAATGAAATTAAATAAGTAACGCTTACTTGCTGTTCAGTTCTCCTCAGATGTCCCTGTTTTGGACACTCTGAAGAGTATCAAAGTTTGTATTCGACCTTCGGGCAAAAAATATTACATCTTGCAGCTAAATGGCATTCCTCTGCTGAACGGTTAAATATTTGTAAAGAACAGTTCGGACATGAAAATGGTATCAAAGCACGCTTTTCACACAGCCGTGTGAAAAGTACACACCAACTCGGTCGGAAGAGGGATTTTCTGTTGCAGGTTGGTCGGTAGCAAAAAGTGGGCATCGCACAGTGGCCAAGCAACCATCCCCAGCTTTTCCCAGGTTTCTCAAGTAAAAATATTTATTTTTCCTTAATCCTCAACAAAGTGCCATTTGATTTAGAAATTGATTTATTGTACCATTGATTTTTGCAATATCGGATGCTAATAGTTATAAACAGTTATTAACAAACAAACCTCTATACCGATAGAAAACCTAATGCATTCTGATGTAATTTATACGAGTTAAGATTACTGGTGGATTTAAAGAGGATCTGAACTGTGCAGTATATATGATCTGTTTATAATTAATTTATGTATTTCCAAAACATATTTTGCTGGTCACTGTGCGGCGCAACATGCACGAGATGAAGACGAAGACGTTGCGACGGTGTGCTCCAGTTACAGAAGTCGGTGCGCCGTGCACACACACAGTGTTTGTTCAGCCCAAATACAGTGAAACCAACAAACCTGTGTGTGATGGAACGCTGAAAACCCTAATGGAAAATATTCAACTCGTTTGCTCTTTTTCGTCAAATGCAAGGGACTTAAATTAAAAGTTCCTGAAACTGTTGCTTTTATGTTGTAAGCAAATTCTGTTTAAATATTTCTTAAATGGGATTTTAAATCAAATGAAACTTGTGAGGTTCAGCACAAGTGGTACAGCCTGTACGCGTATGGAGTCGTAATTGCAGACTCAGCTTGGCCGGCTGCAAGTTAATGGCCAATGGTCAACAGCTGCCGCAGCCAAAACAGACGTGCTCCAATTGTAAACAAAAATGTTGAAGCTGGCCCGAAACAAACTTGTGTTGGTCTCGGTGGCGGCTGGCTCTGAATCTGAATTTGAGTCCGGATCTGCATCTGCAACTGCATCTGCTCCGGATGGCTGCCAGGTCTGTCAAGTGGGGATGCCGACTTCCCCTTCGTTACCAACTTTTTGCGGGCCGGGCACATTTCCTATAAATAGTAGCTAAAAACCATAAATAAAAGCGAGAAGAGGCAGAAAGAGGCTAGAGCTGCTATTCGTACAATATATCAAGTTGAGGGCAACCGAGATAGAATTCTGCGCCCAAACGATTTGTTTTAGAGGGCATGGGCTTCCACCAAGTGAAGGCATTTTAAAGCCGCTTAAGATGAACCGAAATGATTGACTTTCTAATTAGTTCGATCTCTCTATTTAATCAGACCGAAGAGCTTTCGATCTGTGGACTAAACGCCACTTAGCCTTATCGAAAACAGATGAACTGGTGGCCATAAATCAACCTCCAGCAGCTTGGGAGATGATATCAGCGGGCGATGGCTTCGGTGTCCATATCATAAACAAGAACTTCCGATTGCGGCGTCTGCCCAAGTGGCAAATGCCACGAGCGGCTTAGCTGTTAAAAAAACAGCAACAAGACAGACTACCTTATTTAAGCCCGAGCAAATAAAAAACGAAACTTTCAGCAGCTGGAAGGGGACAGCTTGAGGACCCGAACAGGTGGCATCAGCAGTTGGTGCCGAGACATGAACAGGGGCTTTGGCCGAAGGACGGCAGGACGGCAGGACGGCAGGACTTCCGTCGACGTCTTGGCCATATCGTCGCCAGGTGTCCTCGCCTTTGCCAGGTCAAGCGAAAAGGCGTCAAAGTATCCCAAATAAGGATGTTCATCGCTTAGCCCACATAACTCATATACTGTCATCCTCTCTGGACTTCTTTCACTTCAAGTTCTTTTCATAATTGTGTTTACAAATCAAGATAGCGTAAGGTAAGCTGATTCATGGAACTCCCTATTAAATGACTGTGTTATTTTGTTGAACTTAAGTGGTTTTCTAAACGAAACACGAAAGGTGCCATTTTTTTCGATTTTTTTTTATATACATGTATAAATGATAATACCAATCTAAGAATCAATTCACAACTGTTTATCATTTTAATTTTATTTTATTGAGAAACATTTATGGGACCAGACTACTTTTACTGCTTTTTGTCTGCTTGCAGTTTTGATTTTAAGGCAGATTCTCACCTTGTGGGGAAAAATCGAATATTTTTTTTGGCTTATCGTATAGATATATTTTCCAAAAATTTACTAAAAAATTTCAGATAAAAATTTGAAAAATTACATGAATTACAGGTCTTTACATGGAGCACACGTTTATCTTAGAACCACCCTTTTTTGATTTTTGTCAATATCAAATTTTTTTCTAAAAATAAAGTTGTTTGTAAATCCAGAAACAAATTTCAGCCTTGTAGTTTTAACCGTTTTCTCAAAAAAAAAAATTTTTTTAAGTGCCATTTTTCGGGGCCACAAGGAGAGAGCGGTAGATATTATTATACCCTTGCAGAGCAAAAGGGTATTATAACTTCAGTCAGAAGTTTGCAACGCAGTGAAGGAGACACCTCAGACCCCATAAAGTATATATATTCTTGATCAGCATCACGAGCAGAGTCGGAATACGTCTGTCCGTCTGTCCGTCTGTCTGTCTGTCCATCTGTCTGTTTCTATGTAAACTAGTCTCTCAGTTTTAAAGCTATCTTGATATAACTTTCGCAAAAGGTGTGTAGTTATTGCACGCAGTATATAAGTCGGAACGAGCCGGATCGGCCGACTATATCGGATAGCTCCCATACGAGGGAATGAAATGAAAAATTCTAACGCCGTTGTTTTTGATCAGATCGAGTTGAATTCTTCAAGATGGCGTTTTCTAACTGTTATTGAATTTCGGATTAAATTTTATCAAAATCGGATAACACTATCATATAGCTGTCATAGGAGCGATCGAAAATTTATATAGATTTAATGGAAATAAATTGATAACATCGTTGTTTTTTATCGCACGAGCAAGATTTTTTGAACATCAAGTTTTTTAATAACCCTTATAATGAGAAAAAAGTTTCATAAAAATCGGAGTAGGGGAGAGTGGGGTAATGTCGTCAGTGGGGCAAAGTCGTCACTCGCTATTATTTTAAAAAATAAAAGGGCTACCAACCCAATTTTTTTAGCGTAAGTGTATTGCACTATTCCTACATTACCGACGGAGTTTGGTAGAATTATGGGTTATGTATAATTATTTATTCATCAGAAAGTGTTTCGGAGCCTCAAAAGTAATTTTTCTCCGGCGCAGAACTGTTTTTCT